AACCGCACTAAGGATTGCAGTTTTCGGAAGAACCTTTTTTTCAAATTAAAAGCCATCTACGAATTTATTATTCACGCGTCGTCAACACATCGTAGGTACTGACTATAGGCCGAATGTATTTTTACTAATTTGATTTAACTTGCAAAAGCCTAACTGCAAACGGTTAAAGGTTATCCAAACATACATCAAAGCAAGCAATAAAGACGACAGGTCCCTTTTCGCGCCGTCAAGGAAATCAGTACATTCAGAAATGAGCATTACTATCGTTTCAGATTTGGGCGAGTAATGCGCAACCTCTTACAAGCATGCAACATTAGCTTTAGTTTTAAGATGCTGTCATTGGCTGCACTTCCAAAGACGAGGCCTTTTGATGTTGTCTGCAATACCAAATGAAGTGACATTCTTCATGCACCTGTATGCTACGAAATGGCTGCGATGAACGTATTTTGTGATTGTGACACGTTCCCCATACTGTGCGCATAAACCGGAGGCTGTAATAGCCGCAAGTCATCTATGAACAACCTTAACAGATGTCTGTATGTGCATCTGATATCTATGGCGATTGTTTGCATTTGCGGCCTCACCAGTGCCGTGGTACATCTGCGACAGGTATTTGTAGAACAGCGTGCCGCAGACGGCGGCGAAGAAGCCGCGCCAGTAGTTCCTCACGGCAAAGTAGGCCCGCGTCGCCTCGATGCTGAACAACACCCCTAAAACAGACCCGAATTGCAGCAGCTCCAGTCATCCACCGGTTGCCGCGAGGATGCTGCCGGCCCACACTCAGCCAATTCACAGGCGCATGACAATCAGCAGGAAAGTGTCACGGACACTGCGGTTGTGGGAAGCGACTCGTTGGTCGTGACAATAAAGAGACAGGGTGTGCAACAGCCCAAGAACATGACGTGCCTGACGTTTTCCCTTATTCGTTGCCTGATGCGCCGCTGTCACTTCGGTGTGAATCTTCTCTTCTGTTGTAGCATCGGTTGACTGTTGTGATCGGTTGATTTCGGTGTAACATCTGTGCTTTCAGTGTTCCTCTATCGGCTCAATTCTGCATGCATTTTGCGATTCTCTACCTCTTTCAGTCCACCGCTATCAACCACTCCGCAACATGTTTTGCATAAACTTAACTGCATGAGGAGAGGAATACTGTCTCAACTCAACTTTCGTGTAAATTTGACATATGTTAAACCAGGCATATGTGGAAAAATTTTACCTGAAATGGGATTCTATCCCCCATCGTATACTGCTCCAAGCGGAAGAACAAGCTTGGTTGTCTGGTGAAATTTCCAAGTTTGAACACCAATATGCCAAATGTTAAAGCAACCTGAACTTCTTTTTAAAAAATTGGAACGTTTCGCGTGTTCTGTGGTACCAACAGACATCTGAAAGACGTCAGCCCAGAGCTGTCGGGGTGAGACCGGCCATAGTATCGAGTGTCGTTCGCTGTTCTTAACACATTTCAGATCATGAGGGGGGGGGGGGGGGTTAAAGGCCCAGGCGAGCGTGGGTGGCGAAATACCCCAAGTGTCAGGTTACCAAGAAGATAAACCGAATGCCACTGCCTTGGTCCCGGCTTGATCAAGTGTCATGTAGTATAAGCCGTCGCCCTGAGAGGAGGGAGGGGTTGATGCAGCCCCCTAGGGGCTCTTGAGGATACCTCTTCAGCATGTTGTAGTATGGCGCCCAAATTTCCTGAGTAACCTATGTGGCATTGCGCATGCTTTGACGTCAAAGACACGTTTCCAGCTTTTCTGGCTCCGGAGCAGCAGCGGTTTTCGAGGAGCACTCCAAGGCGATCTACGATCCGGCCCGCAGCGTGAGGGCGGGCTGCGACCGACGATGCCGCGGACAACGCGCGCGGTGGGTCGACATTGTTACATTAAGGAAGCCATATATCATAAATGCATGGTCAAGTCATACATAAATAGACACCATTGTACTCAGGATTCAAAGAGGAACACAATCCTGTTAAGTTTCTTTCCACCACAAGGCATGGTCTCGTAGGTAAAGTATTGCACAGCTAAAAAGTGCGCTTTTGTGGAGCATTTTAACTTTGGCCTACCGTAACGTGGTCAATTATTTAACTAACAACAAAACAACTAGTATTAGTCGCGAGATTTCGTTGAGACCAGTCCACTGGTGCTTTCCACTCAGCTCTTTCTCCATTACTTTGGAAATGCCAGGGTTGTTCGCAACACCTATCAGCTCGCGTTATGAAAAACTGGCGAATCAGGGCGAGCGTTAAAATAAACAGGAGAACACAACCACATGTGATACTTAAAAGTTGCATGCTGGTATCTTATGTCTATAAATAATCGTGGCTGAGGTGGATTATAGTAAGACTGAGTTGAGATGGCATTGGCGGCCGGAGCCCTTTGAGTGCATCGGCACGCGCTGTTGTGAAATCCGGCGGTTGTCGCATACTGAGCTCGTGTGCAGGAGCATAAGCAGGCGCTTTCATCCAGAGGCAGAACAACCGGGAATGAAACAAACACGACAGCCAGAAACCTCAGGACATTATAACCTGGCCTTGTCATTGCTTTTAGCGGCCTGGTTGTGATGAATTGATGTTATTTCATCGGTGGTGTCCACCTTAAACTTGACGCACGGGTGGATAACCTTTATTTTTGTTGCTAAAAAGCTTGATACCATTTCACGAAGGCCAGAAATATGTGTTTAAAATGAACATTAATTAGGGTGTTCCAACAGCAAGGGAAGGGGGACTACACTGACCACCGATGGGGGCTCAGGCGTGCCAGCAGCCGGACCAGGGGAACTACACTGACCGCCGACGGGGGCTCCGTAGCAGACAGCCGCGCCCATGGTGCAGGCGGCCGCCACCAGCTCGTTGCCTGAGTGCCGTTCCAGCTCCTCGGCAGATATGTCTTTGAACACCTTGGTGATGAACAAGGCGAACACAGCCGCCACGTGCGTCACCGGACCCTGCCAACGAAACGTGACGTCACAACCTGGTGCAGAGCTCGGCAAAAACCATGCATTTTCCTACTTACTTGTGTACTTTTTTAACAGCCTTGTCGGGTGTCAGTCAACCATTTTCCCTGAACTTTCTGTACTGATTTGACAGCGTAACCCAAACAGCGTATTTCGAAGGCTGGGCGAGTCATAATTGAAAGCATTCCGCTCTCTGTCTGTCCATAAGTGACGGCTATCCACACCGACAGTTATTACCGAATAACGCAATCTGAGCAAGCACATGACCATTCCAGCGAGGCCATTAATTAAACACACACTGCAGGAAATTACCTCCTTTCCCAAGGGAAGTTCAGAACATAAGGTGATGGGCAGAAATATGATCTTGCCTATGCACGTGAGCGGTGAGAATGTGTTTTTCATCTTCACTCCCTGAAGATAGGCCTTCATCTCAGGAAAACCGGATCCTGAAATGAAACGGCACACGTTGCGGAACGTGAATACCTCGCTGGGTTTCTGCCGTGTCTGCTGCGTCTGCTGTGTCGATTTCGACTCACGCACACACACACACACACACACACACACACACACACACACCCACACGCACACTCGCACACACACACACACACACACACACACGCACACACACACACACACACACACCCACACGCACACACCCACACACTCGCGCACACCACACACACACACACACACACACACACACACACACACACACACACACACACACACACACACACACACACACACACACACACACACACACACACACCCACGCCCACACCCACACCCACACCCACACCCACACCCGCACCCACACCCTCACACACACACACACACACACACACACACACACACACACACACACACACACACACACACACACACACACACACACACACACACACACACACACACACACACACACACACACACACACACACACACACACACACACACACACACACACACACATACACCCCCGCCCCCACACACACACACTAAAAGCCGGTCCACGCTGAGAGGTTATCCCACGTCGCTCCAACCAGAAAGGGTGACAACATTCCAGGTCAGCGGGCTAAGGCTACGGTCAAGGCTGACGAACCTGTATAGTAGAAGTGCGACTAGATTGTATTAGAGCGGTTAACTCTTAGACCAGTCCAGCTTTTTGATCCCTGGAAGTTGTAAAACTGCTCCATAAACACGACGGCTTTGGCAATCAATCCGATTACCATGGTCAGCATATCGTGACCCACGTTTTCCCAGTTCCGGTGATGGGCTTCATGCAAATGTGGAAAACCCGTGTTTCGAAGGGTGACGAAAGCACAGCATGAATATGGATGCCTTTAGGAAATGACACGCATTACTTCAACATAACTTATTTTGCACACGCCCAAACAGTCCGTTTGTAAAACGTATATCTCACCCTATCGCTAACTCGCCACCCCCCCCCCCCCGCCCTCTCTCTCACACTCTCTTCCGCCCACCACTTATGACTCACTCTCCATCTCTTCTTTGTCCCGTGCGGCAGGCTACTAAATCTCCCGGACCAATTTAGCGTCAGCAAGAACATCCGTGCATCAAGCTGATTGCGCCCGGCGGCCGGAGTCGAGCCAGCGATCGCCGGCTGTTGTTTGGTGTGAGGAGAACAGGCGTACCCGGGGGCCACTTCTGACCACACCGCGCTTTGTTCTCACCGCCCGCGCACCGGCCGCCGGCGCTCGCCTTAATTACCGGCGCTCTAAATACCTGGCACGCCGACCGCGCCGGGCGCCAGCGCACCATCGACGGCTACCACGGTAAAGGAGCTGTCGGCTGATAACCGTCGGTGGCTTGTTTTGCACCTCGGGCCTGTCTAGGCGCAGGACACGAGTTTATGGGCCACGGATGCCGCTAAATCAAATGCGCGCTGCTTTTCTTTTTTAATGTGAAGGTGCGATTTGCATTCTTACAGCCTGTTTGCTTTATGCACGGGCGGTGAGGTTCGTTGCCCAGTGCGCTGCTGCTGCTGCAATCGATAGCTGTTGTTGACGCGCGGGTCGGCCTGAAAACACCTCGTCGCGCCGCCTAGCTCAGGCAGCATGTCGCAGCCATGTCTCCAGTGACGGGGTGCTGCTATACAAACCCTGCCTTTGCAGTGTGGTTTCGAGTTTCGCAGGCGTAGCAGTGGCGTTTGTAATCACGGTCAGTGCCTAAAGCTAGTTTCTGCTGAGCTAACGCCTCATTCCGGGCCGCGGCGAAGCTTTGGAAGTCTACGCCGCCGCCTTTTGCTTGAGTGTTGAGACGTTGCCTAAAAATGTGACGACAATGCCCGCCGCATCATGAGACAATCCGTAAACATAAAGATGTCATCCTAGCTATTGAAAAGTTGTGTTCGAGATTTTCGTGAACTGCGGAGTGGACTCCGAGTCTCAGGACCCCTGACATCGCGCTTTTGTTACCAGGGGGACCTCAAGTCACGTAAATAGGATGAAAATATCCTGTTTGGACAGCAATGCCGACATTATCTGAAAATAGATATATTCCTAATGCACAACACAATGATTTATCACAACACAACGCATTATTTATCCATACGCATGCTGTTCTGACCAACTTTCTTTTTGAACGGCCACAAGTAAACTAATGAACGCTTAGAGATGCCACATTACAGGACGTCTATATAACCAGTGCATTTTTTTCGCATCCGCACACACGTTTGCGAAGCAGCTGCGCCATGGCAAACTGAGCTTATCTGCAGGGTGTCACACCACCGGTGCCACGCAGACACCAAGGTCGGGAGCACCCAAGAGGCATGTCGCAATCTGTGCAGTGGGAACGTGGCAGGTGCCTCGATGACAGGTGATCGTTGGATTGCTTTCACACAATTCAGTGTGGAACGCTGGGTAAATATCGCACCGCCGCCTCGGCTCCGCCGATACGACACCGGACCGTGCTGGAGATCTTAGCATCGGTCATCTGCCTTTGCCCACTCCCACTCCCTCATTTACCCGCACTCGACGTGTCAATCTCCCCTTTTATATTGAATCCTGCATTCCCGTTTCTTGGTCTTTCCCCTTTCATGTCCCAGTCTTGCTTCCACTCCCTATTTATTCCAGCATATCCATTCTTTCATCTTTCCCCTTCTTTTCTTATCGTCACGCTCCACCTCTGGCCCCCTTCCGCGTTCGGCGCTCACCTGTGGCGCTCGGTATAAACCAGGCGATGAAGAGGGCGGCCGCGATGGCGATGCCGGCCGTCATGGTGTACCACACCACCATCCGGCTGGGCAGATCCGCCGACGCCAGAAACGCATTCAGACGAACTGAAAATGGGAGACACATTCAGACGAACTGAAGGGGGAGACGCCTTCAGACGAACTGGAGAGGAGGGTCACCTTCAGACGAACTGGAAAAAGGGAGACGTCTTCAGACGAACTGAAAAGGGGAAACACCTTCATACGAACTGAAAAGGGGAAAGGCCTTCAGACGAACTGGAAAGAGGGAGACGTCTTCAGACGAACTGGAAAGAGGGAGACGTCTTCAGATGAGCTGGAGAGGAGCACACTCGTTCAGATCCGCAGCGCTGCAATAGCAGCGCAGCAAGCGTGTTTTTGATAGCTCACGGAAGCTGAGTGGATTACAGGTCATGGAGCCTAAATTGAGCGTGAAGAGCACAGCGGCCGGAAGTATAATCAACTTGTACATTTACGGTCACCATTAAGACAAGTCGGGGAGACAGCCCGCCGTTTAAGCGCAGGAGTTACTGATGGCACGCCAAAATGCTATGAAGGTCGCGGCCGAGCGAGTCCAGCCCATTAAGAGTTAATTTCTCTGACATTGGGCCGCGTGACGCGACCGTAACGCTTTTCACGACAGAGGGCTGGCTTGGCAGGGGATGAAGACTCTGTGGCTCTCAAATCAGTGCATTGAGCGTGTTGACAATTCTTTGGCAGGTTGACGTGAATCGACTACTGGTGCTCTCTGTAACAATGATACGTACTTGTTTTTTTAATCTGGGATGTACGATTGTGTGCTTTTCATCGGAGACAGAATTTGTGCTTAAGTTGAAATGGTGACACTTGTGGAAAGCCCGCATATCGATATGATTGCTTGCGATGGCTTCTCCAACCTCTTTTAACATGGATCAATCATGTTTGAAATTTGGGAGCCGTGCACCATTTCTCCATCAAAGCACGGGGTCCACACTAGGAAAATTTATATCGCAGTAAAGGTTATTTGCCTTGTTTGGCTCCTCCCCGAGCAGCAAGTGCATCGCGGACGAATGTGAAATGAGTGAGCACGTAGCCTGCGTTTCTGTCGCGCTATTGCAGTTGATTTAACAAATATCATACAAAACCGACAGCAAGACATGCTTTGTTTTTGCTTCGTTTTTTTGCTTGCGAGACCCATTTTCCGGCGGTCGCGTAGCTTTATGAACACCGCTATAGCCACGGCAGACATCAGAAGTGACATAACGGAACTGTCCAAACCGGTCGAGACAGTACCCGTTATCTTGGCGAGTGACGCCAATCACAACGTGCAAACACGCGAGTTTGGAAGGTTGAAACATGCACTTTTAGGTGACAAAACAAAGCTGTAGACTGTGATATCTGGATCATTCAGGTGTCATTTCCAAACGAACAAAAGCCCTCAGCCAACTGCATGCAAAATCGGATACCCAGAACAAACAGAGTAACGGCAAGCAAGCGACACCAGGCGTGCTCCAGTCACTGAGTCGTGGCCTAGGGCGAGGCTGGGCGGTTCAGGGATCGGAGTTCGGCAAGTGACCATCCATGGCCGTGTCTCAGAATAACTAAGTAAGCCGTGAACGTCGGATCATGGGAGCACCGAAGACGTTCTGCTGTGTACTTATGCAACGGAGGATATTGTCTATGTGTCCTTGACATGCAATCGTAAGCTTATTTGCCGGAAAAGGTGTTCAGAGAGGATCAGGTTACTGCAGAATTGGGCCCATAGCTAAGGAGATTGCAGAAAATAAAGCCTGAGGCTGCAAATCGGGCCAGAAAAGAACCGGCTACGCGTCCCCAGAAAGTCGTGTCTCAGAATACCATCTACAAAGAACAAGTCACCCCATGAGGCATAACCAGGTCAATCTGAAGCCCATTATAACCCTTTAGTACCTGATGGCAACCAATATTTAGTCACTGGCATATGCACTGGATGTGAATGATTCCCAAAAAGTTCCAGCATCTCGGTGTCTAACATGGATTTGGTCACTTCAGCAGCATCACTGTTGACAGGAGACACCCGTTAACCTCATTTCAAGGTATCATCTTGTCGTGCACGCGGTGGGCAAGTCCTTTCCCCAGGTACACTTCATTAGGCTCGACCGTTTGGACGTTACGACGTTTGGACGTTTGGACGTTACAACTCGCCACGTCTCGCGCCCGGAACTCCCGCAGCTGGTCGCGAGCTGAGCACGCGTGACGTCATCGGCAGCCGGAGGATGCGACGTCACCGCCCGCGGGCGAGGATGGTACCAGCGGATCCCGCCGCCGGCTGACCTCCTCCAAATCGCGCACCGACCGCTGGGCGCCGCGTCCCAGTTTGGTCAGTGCGCAGCTAGATCACTGGAGCGGGGTCAGTGTCTGCTCATCTCCTCGGAAGGAGGCGGCAGCGCTCCAGCGTGCTGTCACGCGCGGCACGCGTGCCGGGGGCAGCTGGGCAACGCAACTGCTCTCGATCGCCATCAACCAACGAAACATGAATATGAAATGGGCGGGCAGACTGCCAATAACTCATCGCGAGTATGGACGCGTGCTGAATTGCCAGCTCGGTACTTTAATAAGCGCTGACTGCAGGAAATCAATGGGCTCAATACTTCCTCAGCAGCCAGGATAGCATTTGCATGATGTTATGGCGAAGCCTGGAGTAAAATACTTTTCACGTGCCTGGGAGGTGAACAGGTGTGCACGATATTCTGGGAATAATCACCAGCAAAACAATCCCCCATCATCCGCGCCGTCTGCGGCCAGCTTTGTGAGGTTTATCGCCGATCTGTTTCGTTTCTGCGGCGAGCGGCCGGCTCACCTCAGATGGTCCATATATATCCGGGCAATTTTCTGCAAAACAGATGCACTCACCGCCCTTGGCTTTTTTCATTCAAATGCAAAATGGTTCCCTGAGAAGAATCTAAGCAGCCGCTTTGATGGCCACCCACGCCCTTCGCGCACATCAACGATCGATGCATATCCGATAATGTGATTGGCAAGTGCATGACACGACACTCGGCTTGCATTGTCCTCGCGCATCCCCTTAGCGGATCTCGTCTGATGCCGGGATACTCAAATAACTGAACCAATCGTGTATAGCAAAACGTTGGAATCACATGGTAATGTTCCGAATGCTCCCATCCATCAGCATGGCAATGGTAGAGAACTGGCATGGCTTCCAATACAGCTGATAATAGTGCGGTTGAAATTAGCCTGAACGTTTTGTTACAAGGAAGCCGACACTAACAACGTATGCACAACGTAGAATACGATTGCGCCTTTGCCGAGTCGACTGCATGCTTCTGCCTCTGGCGTTTGTGCACCTCCCCCCCCCCCCCCCCCACCACACGCTAGCCGGACCGCCGAGCAGCAACGCCTGGTGTGTGGGCTCCTGACCATGTCAGGGTTCTCCTGGTGAGTCATCCGAGAACGCTCCTTCCCGGACAGTGCGCCCGAACGGTGAAAGGCAGCAATGCTGGCGCTGTCCACGTTGCAAATCGGTCACTTGAGGCGAGGTGTCTCCAGGTGTGATCCACTCCCGCACCTCGAAATGCCAGCACCACGGGTGGAGCACACGGTACAGACTGTGTGACAGCGGCCACGCAGACTTTCGTTGATAGACGATTCTAGTCGTTACCACGGGAAGACAGCTTTGCCAACCCAACTTTTTCAGTTTCTTCACTCGCGTTTACTGCACGCGACGTGCATGCAATAGCGTAATCTGAGGAATGATCGGAGCTTTTCCGCGGGCGCCTAGTGGTGGCGAGCCCATGCTGTTCCTGCGCCTGCGTCGCGGCGGCATCCAACACCGACGACCGGCGGCACAGCCGGCCACGCCGGCCGCCGGCCGTCGGCACTGACGGTCCTGGGCACATCCTCCGAGGTGCGCTGACGGCGGACTGAGGCAATGGTGAAGGGCGGTTTGGCAGGTGGATTACATGGATGCATGAGTAGAGGGAAAATAAGCATCTTAATAGAAGTCCATGCATGTGTATGCCGCACTTCGCCGGGCAAACCTACGACATCACTCTTTGGTCAGCAAGTGGACAACTGTCCTTCTCACTGAAGCGGGGAAGAGAAAGGCAAGTGTGATAATAACTTGGTCACAGCTGTCCGGCTCTGCTGTCTGCTTCACACCGCTAGGCAACTGCTGACGGAAGTCACGATCAGGGATGCAAGAGTTCGGAACCGTGGCAGTGACAATCGGTGCCGAAACAATGTCGGCCGTTATTTGAACGGTATCCAGGGGACCAATTCCGCTTCTTGCTGGCACCAAGGAATGCCAGCCTGTATTGCGTGCAATGAAACCCAGTGACACTATCCGATCTAAATCCAGGTACAGGTTGGCGATCCATGTACAGGCTGGCCGTACCAGCAAGGCTGACTGGTACGGCCAACCTGTACCGGCACCAGGCAGGGCTGACTGATATAACTAGCCTGCACCTGCATCAGGAAAGACTGACTGGTATGGACAGCCTATACCTGCACCAGGCAAGGCTGACTGATATCAAGACTGACGTGTATTCAGCGTTGGCGCTAGATTTCGGACAATAGTTGCCAAGTCACGCCCGTCTCCTCACGCCGTCACGCCGTCACGCCGTGCGGTGAGTCACCCCAGGCCACTCCTGTCTCGCCATGCACAAAGCGGCTGTGTTGACGCAGTCCGCCCCCCCCCCCCCCCCCCCGAGGGAACACGGCCAGCCGGCGCCCGGCGACCACCGCTTCCGGTGACCCCGGGTCGGCGGGAGAGATGCCGACGGCGGGGACGTGTGTCGGGACGCGGAGCCGGCAGGGTCGGCGGGCGGAGGCAAGGCGGCGGGCCGCTGAGGAGGCAGCTGACATCTCATATCGCGCGGTAGATACTGGCGTTATACTTCCAGTTATGATGGGATGGGTAGATACGCTGATCATAATCCAGTCAACAAGTTCTTCGGCGTAAGTGTACTGCACTATTGCTCTTAACGCATATGTTTGAAACGTGCTGTTTTGCTCACTACTAGTTCAATGTCAAAAAGACAAAAATGGTTACCATAACACGGCTGACGCCGACAATACCGCTGCTGCCGCTACTGCTGCTGCTTCTGCTGCTGCTGTTTGTGCTGGTGATGGTGGCGGTGGTTGGCGGTGGCGGTGGCGGACGGCGGTGGCAGTATACGTCACGACCACCAGACCACCATTGACGGACTGTTACAGCCATTTGTCGCCATCGCGGTCGCAATGTCCAACATGACAAAAGTAGGGTTATCTGGCGCTGGTTACTCTCGATAATAACTCCATGATTATATAGCAGAAGTCTACAAAGCTTTGAAGCTTGGCATATCCCTGAACAGGCTGCGCCAAATCAACAATGCAAAGTGAATCTGGCGAACATGCACCACGTTTTGTCAACGCACAACCACGGAGAGATTTGTGAGATAACTCACAGCCACGCACCAACAAACGTCCCCAATTAACCATGCCCAAAGTCATTCAGAAGCACTCCCGCGTTATCTGGCTGTCCTTCCTCTCTGCTGGGAGTTTACCCTTGAGCGCGACAATAAAACCTGACCGCCGCACCGGACTGGGTGTGACGCAACGCCAGACGGCGGCCTGTCAGCGTGACCCTGCGCCGACCGCACCGCTGGCCGCCGGCCAGCAAGCCCCATGCGGACATGGAAGGGGCTCCAGGGTGGCGAGGGGAGACTGCTGAGGGGGTTCGCCGCTCGTATCCCCCCCCCCCCCCCTATGCGATTTATCGATGCGATTTAAGCACTAGTTATATACCAACTGAAATGCTTATTGAGCAATGCATGGAAATCCAGGGGTGCATTATCTGCCAAATATTTCAAAACTGGACACATGTCTTCCAAGTGTGCCGAGATGAGGACATCCAAGTGGTTACCCATGGATAAACACGCAAAATGTGAAAACTTTCCTGGCTAACACAGAGAGAAAAGTTTAGATCCATGTCGGAAGCTTTAATGAGTACGTAGAGTGCAATTATATCAACATAATTTCACGAGCAACAACACACCGTAACGGCAACTGACAGTCTCCAGTTTGAAAGTCACCAGTAAAGAAGCAGAGCCTGCCTCCACCGGCGGCTACCGGCCACCGATGAGCCTTGAGTCACCGTAACCGGTCATGAAGCCCAAATGAGCCACAAGGCATTGGACTGACAAAAAGGCCACAGGGTCGACCGGTGGTATTTTTCCGTCCGGGACTGGCTTCTGCATCGGGGAAAATAAGCCCGTCGTGCAAGGGACGGACGTACACCATGCACAAATTAGGGAACTATAAGGAAACTGCGGACCTTCCACGGCCGAAAACTGTGTGACACCCTTGTTGCCTCAGCATGGGGCCCACAAAGCTCGAAAGGAGGCGTAAACTGCGTGCTTCGGCGTCCCATTTTGGACAGCTGGGATCGCTTTAATCTCTGTAAATCTGAAAATAAAACAACTATACAGCGACCTACAGCATACCACTGACGCCACACGGCCCTGTACTCACACTGATGAAGCGCCTGGACGGCGACGTCAATGCCGAAGGAGTAGATGCCCATCAAGCTGCCGAGGAGTGAGAGGAACAGCCAGTCCTCATAACGCCCCCGGGTCCACCTCCGCACCCAGGCCAGACAGAACGAGCCGTCTGAAGGGATGAGGAAGCTGGCTGAGCGAGACTATTACGCGGTCCGTTGACAGCAGGTGCGCTAATTCCACTCAGATGACAGAGTTTCCTGATTGCGCAAACTGACAACATGAGCCAATGTACATGATCGCAGGTTTTCAACGACCCCTAACGGGAGCACAAAATAGCACATTTGTGGCAGGCTAGCGTGTTGCACTGCGCTGGCTCCTGAACACCAACGTCAAAGTCGTGTACGTATCCACTGATATCGTAACTTGAGCTATCCCTGCAATCCCTACCACCCTCTGACCTCGTCGACCCCCCCCCCCCCCTTCATCCTCCCCGCCAACGTGCGGTCCCTGCGGCCGGTACGACCTCTCTCCGCTTGCGACACGCCGTCTAATCACAGGGGGCAGAAAACACGTGGCGGTAGGCGCGAGCACTCACGCTCGGCAGCTTTCTCCACCCAGGGGTTGCCGCTGTTGCCGATGGTGGTGAAGCCCAGGTCCTCCTCCAGACAGGCGTCCAGGCCAGGGTCCTCGGTCGGCCACGGCTGCTCCGGCTCGGGTGGACACGACTCGGCCGCCTCCGCCTGTGGGCAAGGTCGGGGCAGTGGTCAGGTCAGGTCAGTGGTCACGTTAGCCATGTGTCGCCGGCCAGGTTGCGTCACCACACAGGTCAGATCACGTTTATGGTAAGGTCCCTATTCAGGTCAGGTCACCGCTCGTGACAGGCCATCACTCAGGTCAGACCACCTCTCAGGTCAGGTCGCTGGTCGGGTCGGGTCATTGTTGACGGAGGGTTAAATTTCAGGTCAGGCCGCTGCTCACGGTGGGTCACATTTCAAGTCAGGTCACCATACGAAGTCGGTAAGCTCGGGAGACGAACACCTGATAATTTGCCGCGCAGCGACGAAGAAGATGTACCCTTGTGCCTAATGGCCCTAATAGGAGAGTGTGGCAAGGGTGGTTAATAATGAGACCCAGAAAATTATGAGAGAGGACATAAGCAATGCAAGCCCAAAGGATTGCACAATCACCGTGCCCACTAGCCATCTAAATCCAATGGCCATACAATCCCGCATGTTTTTCTTGTTGTGGACCTCTTACCAGGTAAGTCCGCAACCAAGAGTAAGCCCATCATGACTGTTCGTGCACCTGTTGCCTTGTTCAGCATCAAACACCGAGCGATACACCTCCCTCTACAGCTCCACCCATCTCTAGAACCAAACGGCTTTGCTGAGCGCCCTTCTCAGTGGAGTGAGGCTCGTCACCTGGTGAGAGGCAGCCTTGCTATGTCTGTATGTCAGCAGCCCCCCCCCCCCTATGTCGGCTGAGCACCGCAGTATTTTTGGCGTTGACGGAGGACCGCGCTTTGGTCGCCGCAGTCTGACGGTCAGGTTCCTAGTCGATGCATAGAAGAACAGCATGGTGCAAATTACGTTCGAGTGGAATGAAATAGAACCACAAATATTTTGATCACTGTGTTTGCTCTGCAAAAACGGACTCACCGATTCATCGTGGGTATGAGGGATACACGATGAGTCGGGTCAGACAGCTGCTTTCAAGACCCGTTTCAGAAATTATGTCATTGCTGCTCACACATCCACCTGACATTCATTTCGTATTATGTAAGTGATACCGTTGGCACTTTTCCATGAAAATGCTAATTTCACGTTCATTGTTCATGTTCATGCTCAAATTCCACATGAAAATGTTACCAGCGGTGTTCGGAAAACTAACTCCACGAAGCCTGTAACATGCCATTATGCGCTATACCTTAGCTGCTGGACATTTTGTGTCCCACCCTGAGGCCTCCTCGTCGACCAGTCACATTTCGCTGTTTTCGTAAACGGGCTATTCGGCTCACATGCATGCCCGTGCAAGTCCACTTTTTCCGCACGCGCCAAGGACGGTTGGTACCAGAACGCCACCAGTGCGCGCTGACCGCCCCAACTATCCCTGATTCGCCGGGCGCCGGCGCCCTTCCTGCACAATAATAGCTGGCCACAACGTGATCGCCCGCAGGGAACAGCGATCAGTCCCATGTGGCCAGCCAGCCGGACCCAAACACCGGATGTAACGCCTGGTCCCACTGCCATGACAGCCCGGCGAGGAGCACCTGAGGCGACGGCTGAGACCAGAAAACCTGCCGATAATGGGTAGCATTAGTGAGCCGATAATTAGAGAACGGCCTAACTGCGCAATTGCAGGGTGGCGCAAAGAAGCCGGCAAAACTATCGCCGTCCGCATGCGAGCGTCGGTTTTTGGTCCGGCGTTTGCGTAAAAGGAGCCCTCGAGGACGACACACTATCACTGGCCAGTCGCCTGTTGAGGCGCGGCGCTGTTGAAAAGAAACCAGACCACCTGATGTTATCGCATCGTTGCAAAATGCCACTTTAATTGTAAGTGACTGGGAGGGACACCCCGGGGACGTGCCACAGGAAAAGCAAGGCGCAGTACTCGCTGGGCGGTGCGGTGTGGTATTCACGCCGGTGGGACCCGTGTCTTCCGACTCTGCGCGGCCTCGCCCGCCGTTGCGGAGCGCGGGAGCGGATAAAGGACGAGGTTTGCGCAGAGGCGACCACTTCTGCATCACCTTCGATCGTGCACGGCGCAGGCACGTCAGTGTTAACGGCTCCGCTGCAGATCAGTCACGCGGCACTAAACGCTAACGATACCGTTTAGCACAGAGGGCTGCATTTCAACAAAGGATTGTCCTCGGCTTGACAATCAAAGCATGTTTCGTCTGCTGGAGTTGCTACGTCTATCGCTGGTACGAGGGCTGATAACAGCACGAGCGCATGTCTCGAAGTGAGCAGCTCAAGATTGGAGGCTCATTACTCGCTTCTCAGGACGCTTGCCCATTTGAGTGAATGCGCGAGCTGACTCAGTTTTCGACGATACGCAAGAAATCGCAGATATGCCAACACTGTTGAAGACAGACGGCGTTATGCACGGAAGTCTTCCATGACACGTCTCGCGCGAGCATTGTAATCCCGTTGGAGAAGGTTACCTATCAATCAGTAGTTATTGTTTTGCCTATGTCTCCACTTGTACATGTCAATACGTCTTCTCATTATACAGACAGGAACAGCCTTGGAGTCCTAGTTTTTCGGCACTATGAACTGGGAACCCTCATGCTGACAGCAACCAATCTCCAGTATACCAGGAGGTACTGGTTGAATGACGTTTTGGACCAGACATTGTCTACCTTGTCAAAACTCGATGCTTCACGCAGTGCCCATGGTCACAAGTGGGCAAGCTAGACCAAGTTGGAGACTGTTGACAACAACGATCCACCTTGTTCATTGGTGACCATGAGCAAAGATGAAGCATCGAGTTATGTCAAATAGCCATTAGCCAATGTTTCCTTGACAGGTTTCATCAGTACGCCCCGGTACACTTCAAGGCCGATTATTGTCATAATAACAGCCCCCAATCTGTATGATGGTGCTCATAACACCGCCTGATTCGTTGCTTGTTGCAGTTGGAAAAGCGGAAACGGGAGATTCCCAGGCTGTCGGTAAAATCAACACATTACTGCATGTATGTGCCTGGATCCTAAAGCGGACCGAGGATCCCATAGGATTCCATGTTTATGGAATCTTGAGATCAAATACTGATATTTTTAATGACCACTGGCACATGCCTGCATTATTGCATGTAAAACGTTGACAATAAATAAAATTGCGGTCGGTTGGCCTCAGTAGTTTGCTGTACTAACCAGAGCGTCGGATGGCCGGTTATTTGCATCCTGACCGGCAAGCAAACGGGTCAACCATGGTGCTGACGATCCCACCAAAATTTGCTGCTAACCAGGTCATTCGCGAGGAGCGATATACAGAAAAATGTGCGGATGTCAATCCTTCAATGTGAAATCCAGTGGTCGAAAAGACATGGACATAGCTGAGCATGTAAATATAAGCTACGGAACCATTGACCTGGTTATATGAGCCACTTACTAAAAACAAACACCTTAATTGTGCTGGGACGATGACCTTGCCGTTCTTCCATTAGTTGCTTCCCAACACATATGTTATGAAGGAGAGCACACTTTAAGGCAGTCCCGCTCCCTCCCGACTGTTGCCTCGACGGTAAGCGGCTTACGCGGCCCATGTCGATCGCCTCACTATACGACCATCGGGCAAGAGGTCTGACGACAGGTTTTGCGGCCTGCAAAGTCATCGAGGGAATGCAAATAGCTCCGAAAGGAGAACGAGCTGTCCATGGGGCTCTTCTCATCCCCAAGCTCGCTGATGAAGGCAAATGTCATTTTTGGGTTTGAGCTCGGTCTGTATGTGACGTCAGTAGAGAAGTAGACCTTCGTTCTGCCGAGGTTCGCGATGCCTGCAGCATGTAAGCATCCCGGGCGGAACCAGCTGGAGTGGTCGTCATGGACGCACATTTCACATGGTGTAGGAGAGAAAAGTTGGGACTGACAGACAGAGGCAGGCAGGGCTGCCTAATAAAGACTGTTTCTGTCCCCGCCTACTTAAAACCATGGTGTTTCCTATCGTCAAATTAAGTGGTCTGTGCTTGATGGCGGAGCCAAATGATTCGTGCGTTAACACGGTGCCTCGATCGATTTCTCCTGGATTTCGGAGCCAGATCATGCCACGATGATGCAGAGATACGTGCCGGGCCGATTCGTGACAGAGCTGTGACGTGTGGAACAGGTATGAACGTGGCCGCCGGCTCGGACGAGGAACTCCACGTGAGAGAACCTTTTTATGGGCGCCATCGACACGGAGACAATCGGAGCGACGTGGGCCGACCGTGACTGTCTCTGCGGTCGCGGGACGACCGTGGTCGTTCCACGGACCCCGGACGCAGCCTGTGGCTGAGTCAGCGCCCGGCCAAGCGTGTGGATGCAGAGTGGAAAACAGGAAAGTACCGCGAGACCCGTCTCGCTCGGCGCTGCCGCTTCCCACGGCAGCGAGCGGCGGCCGCAGTCGGGCGCGGCCACTGACCTCCTTCAGGGCGAGCCCGCCGGCTGTCGCCATGTCGGCTGTCGACGCTGACCCCGACCAGGTCACTCCCGGCACCGCGCGTCGACTGCAGAGCCGTCCGCGGCGGGTCCGGCCGGGCCCAGCTCCCCTCCGGACAGCGGAGCACGCGACACTGGCCGCCCGGTCCGGCGACGGCCCCCTGCACAGCTGTGTGCACTGTGCACGGGCAGACGCTGCACCGGCATTGTGCACCACGCCCGACCGAGCGGCGGCGGCTCAGACCCCGCAAGGGAGCTGAGCGATGCGCCGGGAACGTGTTGTTGCCGAAGATAAAGCTCATGGCGTCAGCGGGTTTGTGTTTCATCACCGGAGAAGTGGAGCGCACGGAAGCACCATGTGGGGCGGCATTCATAGTTCTTTTTTCATGTAAATTTCTTCGTACTCATCGACTGTTGAAATGGCATGACGCAATACGTTAAGTATTGCTATTCCCATAATCTCGGCAGAGTTTGCCGATCAGTGATAAAACGTCTCTTGCCATCTGTGGGCAGGGATCCGATGAAATCTACCCTATACTTTAATAGAAATGTTTTTTTTTAAGAAGAGTGTTTGTAACGATGGGCGAATAACTGACATGACAATAAAAGTCTGCTATTTTTTGCACTGTAATGTTCTTATACATTTGACGATTTGAAATGTTTTCTGAAAACATTTGACCTCTCTTTCACATTGATCCGACTCAAGAGACAGCAACAAATGCCTCAGGTCTGTCTGGTGCCGATTCGAAGCATGATAATGAAAAGGCTCTGAACCATAACAGTAGTCAGATTTCACCGTTCAGCTGCGCTTGTCACAAGCGGACCTGTTTTACTGTTCAAAGATTTCCCACGTGCCTCTGTTCAATTCAAATCGCACTAAAATACCCGGATATTAATTATGAAAGTATCTGAAGCGGGCGCAACGTAATAACACGGCGTGGAGGATCTAATGAGTGCGCAGTGCAAGACAGCACCACATACTAATAACAGCATTGTCCATAGGCGTCATTTTAGAATATCTGCTGATTCATGGGTGATGAATATTGAGTGCTACTTAGACAAAAGTTGCCAGGTTGCGCAAAAGGAGCTGGGCAAACCTAACGGCAACGGCCGCCGCTGGGCGCCTCAGTATGAATGTCCTGGGTGCGACCAGACTTTCTCCATTCACCAGTGAGGAGTGTGGAATTCATGGCTCTTGCATAACCCCCGGGGCAATTGTCGGGCAATCTTTAAAATGACGTGGTCTGCAACACGCGGAGCGCCGCCTGGACGCTGGCAGCTTGTGTTTTTTAGGGCTTTGGTTAAAGGTGTACGTAACGGGAAGAAAGGAAGGCAGGAATGGAGACTAACTCATTAACTACAATACAATTATGCGAATTCAGAGAGTGCCTCTCGATTTGCACACTTGGCGACTCACGTTAAAAACTTCCATAATGACCGTGAAAATGAGACTAGGCAGCGATGTTCTTCGATTCGCATTGCTGGTTCCAACGACTCGCGGAACCTATTAGCCACCATTTCGTTCTGTGGTGCTGACTCTCTGGTAGCCATCACACAGCACAGACACCTCCGATGATGGAGGGCACTGGCTAGAACTGGGACCTGGCAGGCGGCACGTACTTGCAGTACAATGGGAGGTGGTGGGCGGGCGATGGATGCTCGTTCCCATGAAATGCCACGTGGCCTTCCTCAAAGATCCGCTCCCACATGAGCGGTGCTCGTGACATGCATGTCACAATTCGCCAATAATAGAAGGACAGGTAGCCGATTACCTGTGAGTATTTTCCATTAGGCCCCAAGTACGTCTCCCCAAGCCCCAAGTACGTCTCGTCGCAATGTGATCCGCGCGCTTAAAACGAGTACAAGCTTTGGCCTTCCCACGGGATGAAAAAGGCGCCCTGCTGTGCTATTGGTGGATATATTTTTTACAAAAGTGCGTTAGTATAGGACGAGAGGTTGCGAGACACGAAGAAATGATTATTCTTTAAAGTTAATTTTCCCGAAAGCAAATAATTTTTTCCTCGATAGGAAACCAGGTCTTTAGGGGAGACTTTCATCTAAGGCTGGATAATGTTCCACCCTTAGAGGATGCCATAAAAACGCGCTGCAGCGATTGCGCAGGGCAACTTGTCACTGAGCCTGACAATGCTGGCCGTGAGTTGTTATCGTGTTAATGTCCTGTCACGTTCGTGTGGCATGAGCTCCAGAGGGGCCCCGTCGTGTGAAGGCATTGTCAGATGTCGTGAAGGTGTCGTTGTGACTACACCAATGTAATATACAGAACAAAGTTTGCAGCGTTCGAGATTACAGTTGCATTGATACACTACGTTAGAGCATTTAAATTGTGACAGCTGTTTCTCATAATAAAGTTAGGTTAGGTCATGCTAGGCCCGTTTAGCTTAATTTAAGTTAGGTTAGGTTAGATTAGGTTAAGTCAAGTTAGGCTAGGTTAGGTTAGGTTAGATTAGGTTAGGTTAAGTGAGTTGAGCATAGGTTAGGTTAGGTTAAGTGAGTTAAGCATAGGTTAGGCTAAGTTAGGCTGGTACAGTGTGATTTTTCAAAGGCACCCTTCTAAGATCAAGGGATGAGGGTGAACTAAGATTACGTGTCTGCCATCCTTTCTCAAACAATGCTAAGCAGGTTTACTCTCAGTGAGCATGACACATCTTATAATTCTGTGCATACTTTCCTAATATTGCCAAATTGAGCATGGTAACGCCCATGGTATTGTCGTTTATGTTAGTGTGCAAAGCATAATTGGATGCGATGATGAGCATGGCTGGATGACATGACGAGCATAGCTGGGTGCCATGATGAGCATACACAAGCACGCGAAGAGTATGCACGAACATTAGACACCTTTGAATACAGATTGAACCAAAGCGTCGCCTAAAGACGACCAGCTTGCTGTGGTTTAGGACGGTCGACGAGGTGAGATCCCGCGTCCAAGTATTACACTTATCCGAAACTGAGGTGTACTTCTTCGGCCGAAATTCGTCCCGTTAAAATTGGGCGAGCAAAGCCGCTTACCGCTTAAGTTCAATGAATCAAACGCATGCTGCACTTTGCCTTTTCTTGCATGTTCAATGCAATAAGAGTCTTACCTATTATTAGTGTCTTAAGATCCCTCCCCGGTGCTCCAAATGCACGCAGAGATAGATAACTGGCTTACGAAACCAGTTGCACATATCTTTTTTTTCGCGTTGCGAGATCATGGCAAATAGACTTACACATGGAATTTCCTCACCACAGTGCCGATTTCTCACCTAGCCTTGATAGAACGGGATGTGCCATAGCTTCGGGGATTTGTTTATTACCAGTGTCAGCGGCTGACAGGGAACATGCAGCCGATTTGTTTCTGACCAGTGTCAGCGGCTGACAGGGAAACAGTCATGCAGCCGATTGCTCTCCTCGATTTGAGGGATCCATGTTTCAATCAAATGTAATCACGTTCCCCTCCTGAATTTGATGGACCCCTGTGGTTTGTACCGATACTTGTCTATTGACTGCCATGCACTCTTTACTCCACCAGCCTGTGCGATCAGGAGTCGTATATATTATATCACGTATTTTCGCCATTTTCACCCCTCCTGCGGTCGTTTACACTCTTCTTACGCTGAACGAGGACCATCTCTACGCCTCTGCTTACATCGCGGAAATATTTTTAGATGGCTTCGGCATGGTTTACAACGATGTATGAACGTATCTTTTCGCTGTCGGAAATCACCTTCCCCCCATAATAATTCGGTTACACTCCATTCAACCCTCCCCTCCTCCATGTGTAACTTAGTTATGGATAAGCCCGCAAGCAAGCATGAAAGTAAGGGAGCATAATTACGCCCAAAGCACATATTTTTCATTTTCCAGGCATTCTAATGTGTCATTTGTGCACGCGAGCAAGCAATTTAACAAGAAACTTCTAGCTTAAACAATCAGCCCCAAAACGTTGTTGTGACAGACCGCCCCCATGACGCTTACCTTGCCATCCAGCCACGTTCCGGCGCCGACCACCGCAACACCCTTCCGGAGCCGGCGCGGGGGCATGGCGCGCCGCCTGCCACCCCTCCTTAATTCCAGTGGCCGGGGTCCCCTCTGGCCGTGGCACGGTCTTGGCCGGGCCGCGGCTCCTCCCCTCGGCTTCCGGCTATATCGGAGCTTCCTGAACCCACAGGGCTGTTCAGCTCTCACCCGATACAGTCACAGCGGGTCTCCACACTCTCAATCCACGGTCCTCAGGCCACCAGCCTCAGCCGTCTCTCGTCTCCGAAGCACGCTCGTCCGCACCTGAGCCTCCCAAGACGTCCACACTCCTGTCACGTCCCCGCTCCACGCTCGCCTCCACCGCCTCGCCGCCTCCCGCGCGCCGGCTTCGCACGGGACTGGCGACCGTCCTCCCGGGTGCCGCCTCTCCGCCCAGCTCCTGTGCGCGGCGCCGCCGCTCTGTTCGCGGTCACGTCTCGGCTGCCGCCGCCAGCCCAGTAATTACCTGGCTGATTGTCCGAGCGTGCAGCCTCCTGCACCAACCAGCGCGCAGCCCGCTGGACGCCACATGGACGCGACACGTGAGTCTCCAGAGGAAGCGGGGAGGGGGGGGGGGGGGAGGGGTCGGCGGTGGCGGCGGCGGGCGAAGGGACGAGTTTCGGTTGGTCGGTGTACCGGGAGATTAGGCTGATTTGCAATTGGTCGACCTCGGTTATTCGGCTCATTAGCTTCGTTTTTATCGCCAGAGACTCAAGGAGCGCCTTGGAACTTAGCGCCTGGTGTCTGCTTCCAGCACTAAGCATCGCTAGCTCGCGCTATTCCATGACCTGATTTTTCAATGACGCTGAGGAATTTGTTCCCTTGAAAAAGTCTTGTTTGATGTATACTGAGCTGCGGGCGACCACCGGAACAGAATAGCTCTTAATACCCTCTGCAACGGTAAATGTGTTTTACACACGAGTGCGTAGACCCCAAAAAGTACCTCCCCACCCATATCGAGTATTATGCAGTGGCTATAGGCCAGTTTGTGTCAATAGCAAAAGCAGTGCACGCAGCTGGTGATAGTGCAAAAGGCCCCTTCCGGCTGAGGCCTCGCAATCTACCAGGCTTGCCTTGTCTGACAACTACGCGAAACGACACACGGAAGTAATGACCGAATGGTTGGTACATTTAGCCTGCATGTTTGGGCCGGGGTTCGAATCCCTGCAGAACATTCCCTAAGCAGCACAGCAGCAGCAACAACCGTAACTAGCATTAACAGCAACTGTAACTGCAGCAGGGCATTCCCCGAGCGGAAATGCGCTGCTGCAGTTACTGACGCTTCATAAAAGGGTGCGCGACGACGCGCGTCGTGCTCTTTTAAAAGGGTAAACACAGTCAGAAATGGAAGACTTACCGAAACATAAGCCAAGCGTCAGTAATGCACTCAGGTATGCTCAGAATGGGGGAAATCTACAAGCTGTTAGGCCTTATTACTTCAATGCTAGACATGATAAACTATGACGGTTTGTAGCCTTCTTTATCACGCCGGAGAGATTGGAAGAACGTATCAGCCACATATCCGTCCTGGCGGCGGAAGAATTGCTGAAGGTAGGGCTTCGTATGATTGCCGGGCAAGGCCTCCTGTCAAAAATGTATGTGGTTGTGCAGTCACATGAATTGCACCAAGCAGTGACCGTGCATAATTACATGGTCGTCTCTCAACCAATTACTAGAATAGAATGTCTGACCACCCACTTATCTGGCACTGCCTCTTTTAGGCTTCGCTGCCGCAAAATAATGGCGTACTGTGGACAGATCATCATGATATATGCGCTAGAATGCCCGTACAACTTTTGGGACCATATCCACAATCCTGGCATGCGACGTGAGTAAAGTCAGTGATCAGAAAAGACACCATATTATACGAGAGCCGAACTGGAAATGAATGTCAGTTTCAGCTCGGTAATATTATTGCCTGTTGTCGTCTCCGCACACGCAGTTTTATGATAAGCGGTTCCACCATTTATGTGCACGGTGTGCGTAACCCTAGCAGTGGACACCCACACAGGCCATAAGTAGATGCTTGGAGCGCCTTATAACTGTGATAACTAAAAACCAACTGTGATAATGGTCGGCGAGATAAGATGTTCGCTTTCTTGAGATCATCGACACTGCAGCACAGTTGGCACCTGGTGCAATGCTTATGTATGAGAAGAGATATCCTGGAATAGCACACAGCAGTATATTCGTGGCACAGATGGAAAATCAGGTATCTTGTAACGAGCGTCGATCTCCTCCCGACTATAGGAAAACCAAGGTTTAGAAAATCTACATCATATCTCACGAGCCTGAATATACAGAGAAATCCACATACATGGCATCAATATTCATTACGTGTATTACATAGATAGGGAGGACCCTAAAAGTGTCATGCAACTCATATTAAGCTGCACCTCTAACGTGGTTTGTCCGTTACGCGCGGTGATCTAGAGAGATACTGGTCTTACATGTTTGGCAGATTTGGCTGACTTTCTTTTCAGCCAGTGTTCAGCTACACACAAAACTCGCGAACAGCATAGTCATCGGTCGTGTAAACATCGGTCACACAAAGCGTCCAAATTACCTTCATAAATACTAAACCATAACGTCACCATGGCTCCCGCTACGTCGTCATCGGCCAATGCAAGGCTCTACATCGCTGTCCAAAATTCCACTGCACCTGAAATAAGCGGGCAAGGTTCTCCACACGCAACGGTCAAGCTGAATCAGTCCTTTAAATCTGTGGCTCTACGGTCCAGAGTCCACAGACATGGACTACAGGGACCACAGAAACAGTACATCGACCACAAACCGCGTAGAAGCCACAGAGAGCATGGACGTCGGGAAATCCACAAGCAAGCGGTGCTCATAGCGGGCGTACTTGCTCTCAGCTGCATAAAACTGGGGTCATGACTCACCGGCGCTACACAAAGAGCAGACTTCCGGCATGCGCGGTGGTGCACAAGAACCACATACGGACCCCTACGCTGGCCGGAATGTCTGTCTCCCGCCACGTTGCTCCTCCGAGGAGTCCCGCCACGCCGCTCCTCCGAGGAGTCCCGCCACGCCACTCCTCCGAGGAGTCCCGCCACGCCGCTCCTCCGGGAGTCCCGCCACGCCGCTCCTCCGGGAGTCCCGCCACGCTGCTCCTCCGGGAGTCCCGCCACGCCGCTCCCCCGGGAGTCCCGCCACGCCGCTCCTCCGGGAGTCCCGCCACGCCGCTCCTCCGGGAGTCCCGCCACGCCGCTCCTCCGGGAGTCCCGCCACGCTGCTCCTCCGAGAATTCCGCCACGCCGCTCCTCCGGGAGTCCCGCCACGCCGCTCCTCCGAGGAGTCCCGCCACGCCGCTCCTCCGAGGAGTCCCGCCACGCCGCTCCCCCGGGAGTCCCGCCACGTGGACTCCTCGGGAGTCCGCCACGGCCATCGCGGCAGTACTTGCTCACGCCTGTGAGACCGGCCGGCTAATCAGTCCGGACCGGATGTTGACCAGACGCCGGTTCACCGGCGGCACCAGCAGAATCAGCTTGCCGATGAAGCAGAGTAGCGGCAGATACAGCGCGTACTGGAACAGACGCGCACGGGCGGTGACAGGCCGCAGGCGCGCCGGCCGGCCGCTGGAGCATCGAACACCACTGAGAGGCAGCATCACCAACTGTCGCACCTTGATCGGACATCAAGGGAAGATTGCACTTTACGGCAATAAGACTGCGAAAGCTTTAAGCTTGCGTGAGCTGACAATACTAATAAGACAAGGGCTTGTTGACTTAAGAGGCTTGAACCAGCACCTCCTGGTACATGGAACGTGGATTACTGTCAGCAGGAGAACTTTAACTCAGAACTCCGCGGACCTGCTGTCGTGGACTAGAGGGGCCAATTTGGAGTTTTTCCTATCCGTCCTTTGCGGTCCTGCAGGCTTAAAGTTGGCACCTTTAGTCCGCAACAACTGAAAACTGGAGAATCTACGACGGATTCTGCAATCAGTCCGCAAGCAAGCTTTCATGGCTGGTTTGTTTCTGGGCCCATCCGAACGACTGGTATAGACCGTCGGCTTCTGCTGGCGGTCGGTGCTAACCTGAAGGCCGGTGGGGAAGTAGCAGTCGTAGGCGGTCAGCATGTAGTCCCAGCCGAGCACCAGGTTGTGCAGGAAGCCGGCCACGAGTGCCGTCCAGCCCAGCTTGGACTGGATAAAGCTGAACTCGCGCCAGGTCAGTCGGTCGGTGACCGACGGCAGGGACGAGATGCCCAGGATGCTCAGCAGACAGAGCGTCACAGCCCCTGCCACAGCCGAGTCCGGGATTCAGACGGCGCAGCGGTCCCTTATCGTCAGCATGCATGCACCACTCAGAGTGAAGAAAGACATCTATGGGTCCGATCGATGCGAATTGCCTTCAGACAATCTTCCATTTCAGCTTGACAATGTTAAATTCATTACCAAGGTTTGCAAGAATCAACCATGGAGCTGTCACTGACGCATTTCATGCATAGAAATGGCGCATATAGGACGCAGACCTGTTAGCTAATAACAAGGTTTCCACAGCTGTCACAGGAGATTAATAATAACAGCCTTTTTAGGAAAAACCTAACTTTTCAACAACGTAGAGTACAATGATGAAAACATATTACAACCCCAATCACCGTCACAATGCACATCCTGCGAAGAAAAAAACACGCATTTCCGCCAAGCAGCGAGGAAGAAACTATCCGTAAGGCAGTTTCGATGACTGAGGCCCAGCAAGAATTAAGGTTTTCATGTGCTCACATTGCACAGTTTTCTCATCTGATTAGTAACAGCTGCACTCCAACTCAGGATCATGCAACCGTTCGAACATGCAACCGAACAGAAACTGTCGTTTGAACTAACCCAGGGTAAGAAAAACCTCTCCTCGCCAGTTGGGGTGATGTTGCCAGATGTCGACCGTTTGCACCTCGAAGGTGCCGTTGACCTTGACCTCGGCTCTGACTGTCTTCGGCGGTTCGAACAGCCAGTCATACTGGTGATGTGGGTGATAGATGCCCAGCGACATACAGCCCTGAAACAGGCGCAACAGACGACTCCGTACAGCAACAGGCGACCCCGTACAGCAACAGGTGATTCTGTACACCAAGCGACTCTGTCCTGCAACAGGCGATTCCGTACAACAACAGGCGACTAACAACAGGCGGCTTCGTACAGCAACAGGCGAGTCCGTATAGCAACAGGCGGGTCAATACAGCAACACGCGGGTACGTACTGCAACAAGCAATACGAGAGTGCGTATAGCAACAGGCGATTCCGTGCAACAACAAGCGACTTTATACAGCAACAGGCGATTTCGTACAACAGGCGAGCCCTTGCACACAACCTTTTTCAGCAGTCTCCTGTTCAGACATGCTTGAAGAGGCAAATGAGGGTAGCTTAGGGCAACTAAGCTTTCAGCCTCAAGGGGATCTAACGACGGGAAACGCGAGGGCAAACAGTCGCACAGCAAGCACGCCTTTAAATCGTCGAGATGCAGGCTTTTTTAACTGCTGAACTTTTGTAGATTTCAAACTATACAAACAGTATGCTAAGTACATCTTTAAATCCATCGGGATGAAACGCCAGCCGACACAACCATCACGTAAAGTTACGTGATGAGTGTGTCGTGATCAGGGGCGTATGTTGGCAAAAAGAGTTAAGCGGAGGGCTGAACAGTAAAAAAAATGGCTCAACCTGCCATCAAAACACGCCAACGAACGTGTTTCTTCCGGCTTTGGCCCACTTCCTTCTCGAAATGGGGGGAGGGGACAGTGTTTAAGTCCCCCATCTGAATAGGAAACTACACCCCTGGCTGTTACGTGGAGTAGCTCTTCTTTTAACCCGATTGCATCAAAATATTGTACTTACGTGCGTAGCAGCCATTGCTAGCATCAGCAGGCCGAGCTGTTTGCGCATGCGCAGCCACCTGTCTAGCCAGGCGGGGAAGCGCGCATATTTTGTGCCCCGGTACAACTGGAGGAAAGCAGCTATGATGCCTGAAAAAGAAAGCATGGTCATTATCTTACCTGCTCTCCAAGAAATTCGTTATGGACTGACAGAAAATTACACAGAACCGAGTGCTAAAAACGACTTCATGTTTAGAATACTATCATATCGATAACATTGTCAGCACTACACTTGACCAAGATACATCTATGTGCGGAGACAAAGGCGATCGGGTCGCTTAAGAGGAACAAAATGACAACATGTTATCCATCGCCGGTACAGCGCGGGCTGCTCATGTCGTGACTCGCTGCCTGTGCCGAGCCCTGAGTAAGACAGACGCCCGCCTGCGGGGGTAAGTAGACTCAGAGCTCACCTGCCATATATACGGCACCAAGTATTGTGAGGGCGACAACTCCCAGGTTGCGGTTGAAGTTTGTCATCAGAATTTGTTTGAACACGGACCAGTCCCAGGTCTCGTTTTTCGTCAGGTTGTGACACAGCTGGAACCTGAAATACATATTCTTCTATGAGGAGCCGCCCATCCCTGCTCAAACGTCTTGGATGTGGTGTCGCAAAGTTCTAAAACAGTAATTTACCGCTTTGAAAATGAAGGGCATACCCAAATCGAAACCATGAATTATTTGTTCGCACTTCATTCAACTGGGTGTGCTTTTGATGTTCACGTCAGTCAATCAATATACAATCTGTACATTGAAGTATGCCACTTATTCAGCTTCCAAGTTTGTCAAAAAAGAAGCGAAACGCCGTACTCAATTACAGTTCCTGCACATGTGCGTTAAAGATTATCAGGAAAAGTGGGTTGAAAAACGTGACGTAGCATAAAACAATGTCAGATGCGATTTACTGTGTGGGTCATAAAAACTAAACTATTTTGCCCTCATATTTCATGCGCACGCCTACGTTCGCAAAGCGTTTTCAATTTCAGACCCCCCGAAAGCTACCACACCCAAAGGTTCTCACTTGATGAAGTTCAAAACATATCCGACGAGAAAAATAACCGCGACGACTATGAACGCGCCCCTCCACTGCCTGAAGAAGTGTAGCGGGATATCCTCGATGTGCCGGGCCTGGCGCAGGGGGCCCATGTCCACAGGAGTGAAGCCCAGGTCCCGCACGGTCTGGACCACCTTGGCCCGAGCGCTCTCTGAGTCGGTCGCTAGTGGAACCTGAAGAAAGAGGTGACGTCAGACACGGAGCCTGAAGAAGGGGGGTGACGTCAAACACGCTCTCTTATGCTGACCTGGAACACTTAATGGGCTAGTTGGAGTAGATGAAAGTAGTTGGGGTGTTGCCAAACTCAAAAAGCGCAGTAAATGAGCAGATTTTGGGCAGTTCTATGACTCGTGGTTATTTCTGAGGTTGTATACATATTTGTGGGGAGTTTTGCATCCAGCAATCATGAGACAATCACAAGCTGTATACGAGTACACCGTTTGTTGGTTCAATACTTCCGCCACGAGAGCTATTCTAAAATTGGTATTCCATATGTTTGCACTTGTACGCAATAATGAACATTGAATGCTAGTCGTTCCGCGGCTTGCGTTAAAGCATATCACGTGATAGATATGCCCTTTCAATTACACCGCGATCAGGGATAGCTGGAAACAGCTGCGCACCTCCTTGCTGCCTTGGATGCCGCCCGTTTCCAGCAGATAGGCGGACAGCACGTTGAATGCTTTGACGACACGTGCTGAGGGGACCAGCTCCTGCAGGTACTCAGCGTTGGAGAGCACGCTGCAAACACATGTTTGCATCACTGGCGACTAGCAAATTAGACAAATAAGGCTTTTCCTATACTTAGAGAAATCATTCGAAATCACTTAGGAATGCATACATAGTCATCGCCGTAAATCACAAGGATGGCGTGACCCATTTTTTCATGACGTTGCATCTTCGTTGCCAAAAAACGCTCACGCGATCAGGCTCTCGCATGGCCAGCATCGCTTCAACTCAACCTGAAGAATACATACGTTAGTACCTCCACCGCTCACCTCGCCCAAATACCGCTAATCCACAACCGTGACCACGGTCCCGGAGATCGAGGGTGTCAATACCGCCTCCCTCACCCCACAAACGATGCGGCAGTTCCGTCCCCGCGTTACACAGGCCGCCTCCCCTAACCGTAACTCCCTCCCGGCTTCCCCGGGGAGTCAGCCCGGGCCCGTCACCACCGCTGACCTGCGACGGCGCACCGCGTCGTCACGGTTGCTGACGTCCACCAGGACTTTGTTCTGCAGCAGCGCCAGCGGCAACGCGTCGTAAAAGCGACGCGCCACGGCCACCACCACCAGCTCTGCCGAGTTGATGGCGTCCGCCTGCGAGGCGATGGTGGCGCCAGTGGCCTCGATCAGCCGCATCAGGTCCCTGGAGGCGCAGACTCTCGGTTATCACTGCTCCGGAGTGGTCTGGTGGCGCAGATTCTCGGTCATCACTGCTCCCGAGTGGTCTGGTGGCGCGGACTCTCGGTCATTACTGCTCCGGAGTGGTCTGGTGGCGCAGGCTCTCGGTCATCACTGCTCCGGAGTGGTCTGGTGGCGCAGACTCTCGGTCATCACTGCTCCGGAGTGGTCTGGGGGCGCAGACTCTCGGTCATCACTGCTCCGGAGTGGTCTGGTGGCGCAGACTCTCGGCCATCACTGCTCCGGAATGGCCTGGTGGCGCAGGCTCTCGGTCATCACTGCCCCGGAGTGGCCTGGTGGCGCAGGCTCTCGGTCATCACTGCCCCGGAGTGGTCTGGCGGCGCAGGCTCTCGGCTATCACTGCTCCGGAGTGGTCTGGTGGCGCAGGCTTTCGGTCATCACTGCTCCGGAGTGGTCTAGGTGCCGCACAGGAGGGCAATTTATTCAGGCCTATATCCAGCTGATCACGAACAGACCTGTGCTCCACAAGCCTTGAGGTCAGCATTTAATGTCCATGATTCGGACCAGTGCCCCATTTTTAAAGTAAATAATACGATATAAAGGACCAAGATACCAATATGAAGCATGGCAGAGGTACTCAGACTTGAATAGGTGTAGACTGTCCTCAAAAAGGCTGTCTCGCACGAATCAGTAATAAAAAAGGCTTGCCTCTCCCGGCAGCCTGCATAGGAGATAAGCATCCACACCGTTTATACGCGCTCGCGGTGCCAAAGACGGGCTATAGGTGCGAGCCATTTCAAGCTTCATATTTACAGCAAGCGTCGCAGCGGCCAGCTGAACTTTAAAACATAACGTGCATTCAACTGTTCGGCTATTTGATATGACATCACGCTACATTTTACAAGATTCTAACGAAACGATTTTCCAATGGTGCGGGCCCCGCACCGCATGGGCATTGGTCTCTCCGATATCAAATGACGCTAGTGCTGTATCCATACACGGATCGTACGTAAGCAAAATAAGCTGTAAACAGCGCTCGTCACTTGAATATTGCATTACTGGAACGTATATGAATTGAAGGCGTGTATTGGTGGGATGCCCGGTTAGCGTGGCTAAATGTTTTAGACAGATACGGGTAAGTGTACTTCGTTATCGATCTTTACTCCTAAGTCATTGATTTAAAAAAAACAGGTTCGAGGTTTCATGTACCAATGCGATACTTGAGCCCAACTGCTTCGTAACTGGGGGTCAAATTGAACATTTGAAAACTTGACGTTATTAGGATTGGCCGTTAGCCCCATTTCCGACGGACTAGGCTGCTGGTCAATCAAGACCCGGCTGCAGTCGTATACATGGTCGGCTGAACATGAAATATTGCTAAAAGTTTGACGCCAGCATACAACTGACTGCAAGATATAATGGCTCGCAAAACGTCGTTAAGATGAGATGAGTGCGAATGAGAGAAGGAGAACGAAGGGGAAGCATTTCCGGGCACCGGAACTCATAATCCGTTAAACGGGGTTCCTCAGGTAATGACAACCCTCCGACTCCTAGCGCACAGGACGAGGCAAGTCGCTTTTTGTGTCCCGAATAGTCCGTATGTCTGGGATCACTATTGGTATCCGTCTTATGTAGCCTTCCACACCGGAAAGAGAGCAAGGAGCTTCATTGGGATGTACGAGGAGCATTAAAAAACAAAGCAGCGTGGTTGATACGCTACGTAAGAGAGAGAGAGAGAGAGAGAGAGAGAGAGAGAGAGAGAGAGAGAGAGAGAGAGAGAGAGAGAGAGAGAGAGAGGAGAGAGAGAGAGAGAGGGGGGGGGGGGGGGAAGGAGAGAGATAGAGAGGCAGAGAGAGGTGAACTGATCTATGATTTTCAGACTCTTTATGCAACACTTAGCTGATCATAAGATGGTTTAAGGGCCACTGGATTGCATATATAGACGCGAGGGTAGCTTAAGAGCGCCGTGGCGTGGAGCTGGTCGATTCAGCCCAATGGTAACTTCTATGTACGTCCACGCGTTAACACCCTTGAAGCAGCGAGCTTACACTTACCATTCCTAGACATGTAACGAACGAGGACGCCGTTATTCCGTCATCGCCAGGCCCTCTCGCTTCAATCGGTCTCCAACCACTCGCTTCCCCTTTGATACAGGAGCTGGGGGGGAGGGGGGGGGGGGGCAGAGGGCGCTGCCTCCGCGCAGTGATCTCACGTCGCTGGTTATAGGTGGCAGCACCGGCAGTCAGTGATAGCCGGTGGCTCTGGGAGCAGTCCTGGCTGATTCTCGGTGGCCTACCACCATCCAGACATGACGCGTTTTGTGGTTAGACCTGACGTACGCGGCACAACAGGTGCCCAGCTCGTCGGTGGAGGAAACCAGCTCGCTTAGGGGTTACGATGCGATTCAAGGGAAGGCTTGAGTATGACCGTCTCAGGTCAAGGTGGCCTTGTGTGTTATTCCAGAAGTGCGCATGTGACCATTTGTACCAGGATTTGGATAAGCAAACTCATTTCTGAAATTAAGACTTCAAAACGATCTCCGGTAGCACACTTAAACTCCAACTGTCACGTTAAATTCAATTGAAGAAAAAAGGACATGATTATTTGCCAAAGTGGCCCCCCAATGACAATGCAGCTCATCACTACCTATTGTCCCAAAAATGATATACTTTAAAAATTATAGCCGCCCTCCACGCCATGTCTGCACTTTCGCGAAGACAGGTGGTTGAAATGTCTGCATTTTGCTATGGTATGTAGCGTTACGCAACAAGTTTTAGGTTTTGTTTCATTTTTTGCTTATTATGCAAAGCTCCTTAAGAATTTCATAAAAGTGTCAAGATTATTATCACAGTGGCTCGGAAATAGAATGTCCTAACCTAACCTGCCTTAGGGAAGACAGTGACGCCAAGCCGCGCGCTAGGCATCAGGTGTTCCTGAGATTGCCTCATAGTGAACACATTCACCTGGAGCACAACCTCGAAAAGCACGGCTTTTATGGTAATACGCCTGATAAGCATCCGCCCAGCTCACTTTTTGAAGCACTGAACGACACCTTTGACAAGCCATTACGCGTATAACTTCGTAACTTTATGTCACGCCTTTCCGTTAATACGCGAGTTTCTATTTACAAGAAAGGAATGCGACGACCTACGTATCAATGAGAAGCCGCGTCATGACCTTGCATGGTACGTCATGAATCCTCAGTCCTGTGTGCTTAGAGGTCTTGGTTAGGTCATATCCGCGTACAAGCCAGTGGGTGCAAGTATTTGAGTTCCAATCCCACCCGAGAAAGTTAACCCAAGGAGCAAAGCAGTAGCCGTGATATTTCTCCTCAGTCGCTTCACGCTGGCTTCGTTGCCCCATTCGCATCTTCACGACCAATTAACTGATCGCACCTGTGATGACCTGTACCTGTAACTGTACCTAACCGTGGTCATCGATATCGCGTCATCGCGTCACGTGTGCACCTACGCATCTCTCATGACGTGTGCGCCTACGCATCTCTCATGACGTGTGCGCCTACGCATCTCTCATGACGTGTGCGCCTACGCATCTCTCATGACGTGCGCGCCTACGCATCTCTCATGACGTGTGCGCCTACGCATCTCTCATGACGTGTGCACCTACGCATCTTCGACGACGTGTGCACCTACGCATCTCTCATGACGTGTGCACCTACGCATCACCTATGACGTGTGCACCTGTGCATCTCCGACGACGTTGCACCTACACATCTCTCATGACGTGTGCACCTACGCGTCACCTATGACGTGTGCACCTGTGCATCTCCGACGACGTGTGCACCTACCATCTCTCATGACGTGTGCACCTACGCGTCACCTATGACGTGTGCACCTGCATCTCCGACGACGTGTGCACCTACATCTCTCATGACGTTGCACCTACGCGTCACCGATGACGTGTGCACCTGTGCATCTCTCATGGCGTGTGCACCTACGCATCTCTCATGAGTGTGCACCTACGCGTCTCGAAGAGTATTGTCACCTCTGTAGCATTCTCTCATGACGGTGTGCACCTACGCGTACCCTATGACGTGTGCACCTGTGCATCTCCGACGACGTGTGCACCTATGCATCTCTCATGACGTGTGCACCTACGCGTCACCTATGACGTGTGCACCTGTGCATCTCCGACGACGTGTGCACTTACGCGTCACCGTTAACATCACAGGACAGGTAAAAATGTGATAAGAAAATTAGCCCCGGTGGCACATTTTTTGCGCTAAATCTAGGAATTACAGATGTCTGAAGTCTAGAGCGCTATGAAAATGCACGCAGCACACACCCAGACTGTCTTCCAGCTCTTTTTCGCCTTGATCGACAGGTGTCATGTGCGACCCTTACGTGTCTAATGGCCTTTTAAATGCCTGTACGCTAGACGCATGTTCGTGAGCGTTTTTTTTGTGAGAACGCAATGTAAACTTGACCCAAAACATTGTGTATATAGCAACTGCTTGTATTTAGCTGGAATACAATTAGCTCAGGTAAGCAAACAGCTATGGTGTAACACAGGAAGCCTTCAAAAGCCATTCGTTTCTTTCACCCCTCATAAAGCCAAGAGGATGAATGAAGACTCACTGGTCAGCCATCACCCTTGAAGCAGTAAGCAGGCTGCATCAGGCATGATTAGGTGGTCAGTTGACTTCTGACCTCTTAGAATGCAAGCAGTGGCTGGAATTCAGAGGCCTGGCATGACCTTGTGAGACGCCACGCAGCTACAGTTCTACTCTAGCAGTCCAGTTATACTAAAAACCATAACAATGTCTAAACCTTTAACCACTTTGATCATTGCAGCAGGCGAGGGTGGTCACGAGCCGTATCGGATTTTATGGGTGAAGCGAACAACAGGGGATAGATAGGGTCGGAAGAATGACAGGGTGCGACCGGAACATCGTTACCGATGTGTAAATAGCATGAGGTGAGGTCTCTGCGTAACGGTGAATCAAGCAGACAAGTCGCAGGATGACCGGGGTCAAGTGAGGTCAGTGATCTCGGATGACCCTGTTTGACCAGCCGTCGTTCCCCCGATCACCTTTGTGCTGAACTGGATCTAAAAATCTTGTTTGTATCATTTTGAAGGGAGGGTCTTATATTTGCATGGGGTTTTAACCGAAAAGCCATCCCGGAGATCATTACATGCAGTTCACAGCCCTGCGCTTATTAAGACCTAACCCCGTCTAGTTCCCGAGCTACATACCTGCGAAGGTGTGCACTGTTTCGTGCATGCTATTTTAAGTCAACAAAGCATCCAGGACGTAATGACATCACTCAATCCCGCCATTCCATTCGTCATACGGCGATCAAGGCCAAGAAAGCCAACTGGCGTTCGTTCACATCTGGCGTTCGTGAGCACGATTTCCAGGCATAACGGCCGTCAATTGGCTTGCCAATCAATGTTATGCAAGATACGATGACGCAATCAAACAATGGCTTATTGCCGAACACATTTATTACACAGAGAAATTGTGTTACCTTGCGCCGTCTTTTCGCTTAAAGCGGGCTTATTCATCATGAATGATGTTTGCTTGATTATTTTCAACTGGGGAATATTCCCTTTTACTATTATGCATCAATTTCCGGCCAACGAGACGACGAAACATTGGTATTCATTGACGACGAAACATTGGTACAAAATCGTTGGTATTCACCATCCTAAACTTGACCCCATACTGGGAGCTTTGCAGATTGGCCGCACGCGTTTCACCGATACGCAGCTGCATGCCCAATACGCAGAGCAACGGTATGGTGTCATATTCGTGGCGTTGTGCTCCGTAGCTCTGGCGTGTAGGCCGGAAAGCCAGCATTTTCCTGTGCCCGCGCCCTCAGGCACGTTTTGTGACGTAGGAAGTCATCCACTGATCAAAACCGAAAATCCGAACACCACTGGAGAACGTGCTCGAGTATGGTGGTCTCTACCGCGTCGTTTTATACTGCTCAATGATTACACGGATCTGGGAGGGGTGGTCGAAAATCGTGTCACCCTGG